GCCTTCTCTGTGGTGGTGTCCTGGTTATGGAATACACTTCATAGACAGGATTTGCCTGGTGGCAACATTTTATTCTTTTCGGCACCAGGCCAAAACCTTTTTATTTTCCCAGTATTCCAAGGTTTAGATTGTAATTTTAATTGTATGGAATGGATGCTGTGCTTTACTTTGTTTTATTGTAAGACCGTTCTGAGACTATTTGGTAGTGGACAGTATACAAAAGTTTTAAACAAATAAATAATTTCTGATTAAGCACAATGGCTTTTCTTTTTGGCGAACAAAATGGAAGTCTAGAGTATTGTGCAGAGATCTTTAAGGGTTTCAAATCATGCACAAATACTCTCATACATGCCCACCCAGTTAGTGCCATCCCCTTTTCTCTTGTCCCCAAGTATAATTGCCTCCCTCACCATGTTCACCAAGACCTCTTAGTGGCATTTGATACCATCAACCATGCTATCCTTCTGGATAGGAAGGTCAGATTGGGAGTTGGGGGCACTGCTCTGCAGTTGTTCTGCTCCTACTGGGCTGACTGATTCCAGATAGTGGTGCTGAATTCCAGAATGTAGCTCTGCAGAATGAATTTGATTTGAATCCCTAGTCAGTAAGATTAGATTTAAATCATGGTTTTCTATATAAATTGCACACATGCCTGCCTTACCCATAAGTAGAGAAACTTCATTAAAATATTCCCAAATGGGGTCTCTTTTACAGCCTACTGCCATTATAGGTTTTCTCCTCCAGGAAAAGAATATGAAAAACCTCAAGCTATACACAAAAAGATCCAAAGACCTGTGCAGCATTCTGCTCAAAGGGTTCAATTTCGTTTTTATGCCTTGCCCTCCCTCCTCCTCATACTTAGCTTCTCATGCAGATCTATTCCATTCCCAACAATAATCTTCTATTCACTGAAATTTTTGAAGCTTAACACTTAAAGAGGTAAGGGGTTAATTCTATGTACATAGTTCTCCAAAGGAACAATGGGGATAAGGTCTTTTCCTCAACTCTGTATCTTTATTTTATAACATTTTTGCTGTGTAGAGGAGTGTGATCTCTGCAGACACAAATTCACAGTTTTGAGAACTGTAAAACCAAACATATGTGGCATCTTCTGAATAGAAAAATTGCCCAATAATCTTACAGAAACCTCTGAAAGAGCATGACATTAGGAATGCATTAATACAATTCATTTACCAAAAAACATTTAAACATTGCATGAATATACAGCCTCATGCTACATAATTAAAAAGGAATCCTTATTTCATGATGAACCACCTTTGGACTATAATGAATCTTCAACAGAAAACTATCTTTAGATAGATTTTCCCCAAAAAGGATTTTATATTGAAAATAAAATTTAAAAGATCAGTTTAAAAGAATCACTGATTTCTACCCCCCCCCCCCAATTATGTCATGAAGTGGTGCAGAACATCATTTTATCCCCCAAGCTTTTTAACATCTACATGAAACTGTTGGGAGAAGTCACCTGAGGTTTGAATCTGAAGTGCCATCAGTATGCTGATAACACTAAGCTCTTGTCTCTTTTTCATCTAATCAAGGTGAGACAGTGACAGTTCTAAACCAGTCTCCAGCCATAGAGCCAACAAATTGAACATCAATCCAGAAAAGACGGAGGTGCTGTTGATAGGTGGGTCTCAGGTCCAGAATAAGGATATCTGCCCTGTCCTGGATGGAGTTGCACTCCTCCTAAAGGAACAGGGTTCGGAGCTTTAGCGGTGCTTCTAGACCCTGAGCTGTCCCTGACGTACCTGGTGGGCTGTGGCCAAGGGCACCTTTCACCAGCTCTGGTTAATTCATCAACTACAACCTTATCTGGATAGGCAGAACCTAGCAACAGTAATCCACGTTCTGGTAATTTCTTGGCTGGACAACTCTAATGCGCTTTACATGGGGCTGCCCTTGAAAACGGTCCAGAAGCTTCAAAGTAGAGAGGCCAGATTGTTAAAGACTAGTAGCAGTGAATATATAACAGCAGCCCTTTATCAGTTGCGTTCACTGCCAAATGAAGTCCAGGCACACTTTAAGGTGCTTGTTTTATTTATTTTATTTAAACATTTATATGCGACCTATTTCACTCATGCCATCTCTAGGTGGCTAACAAACAATTAAAAAATTATAAAGCAATGGCATGAGTTAATATAAAACTGGATAAAATTACTTTAAAATCAATATGAGTTGACGGTTCTGTAACAACTAGTAAATATTAAAATGTCTTTTAATGTATAAAGCCGTAAATGGTTTAGGACCTCAATATCTAAAGAAAGATATCCATTCATACAAGCCTACTCAGACCCTAAGACCTTCATCAGAAGCTCTGCTTTGGGAGCCACCTTTAAAGGATGCTAGGAAGGCGGCTACTTGGTGTATGGCCTTTTAAGTCGTGACACCCCATCTTTGGAACCAGTTCCCCAGAAATGTGTGCCAGGCACCTACCTTGTACACATCTTGGCATAAGAAAAAGACTTTATTTTCAGAGTATTTTAATTGCTGACAATGTTAATTCTAATTTTTAATTCTAATTTTATGTATTTTAATTTATGAATTTTAAAATTGTAAATGGTAACTTAAAATGTAAAATGTGTTCAATATGGCCACTGTATGAGGTCAACATGGTTGGTGCCCCTGCTGATGGAACTGGTTTTATCTACTGAATTTGTTTATAATGCCAAATGATTTTAACTGCATGTTAAATTGCTGTAAGCCAACCAGAGAGCCATGTGGCTATTGTGACAGTATATAAAAGCTTGAAAATACATACATACATTACCTAAATAGAGTGATCATATCGTTATGAACTCATGACCAAAAGCCTATCGTGGCCTAAGTGCACTTGTTTACCTGAACGAGCAGGAAGTGCAAGGGACCAGGATACCTCCATATATCCCTTCCCGACCTATAAGATCCTCAGAGGACCTATAAGATCCTCAGAGGAGGTCCTTCTCCGAGAGCCATACCCAAAGGAAGTGATGGGAGAAATGGCTTGGAGAAGGGCCTTCTCCATGACTGCACCCAGCCTATGGAGCACTGTCTTGAAGGAACTGTGCCTGGCACGGGAAGAGAACAGAAATGGCACTAGGTAAAGACATTTTTATTCAACAAGTGTTTTAATGGCTAATGGTTCATAATACTGTCTTATTTTTATTGCTCTGCTGACAATTATAAGCTTTGTTGATTGTCAGATTTTGTACTCTTAAAAAGATTATGCTTAATTGTTTTTATTGTTTTACTGCTTTACTGCTGTTTTATTGTTGTTTTATTTAAGCCGCTCAGAGAGCCCTTGGACTATGGAGTGACATGGAAATGTAATAAATACAGTGAAATCCCATAATCTGAAAGAAAGTAATAAAACTTGCTTGGACTATCTCTTCCTCCTTTCCCTGCAGCTGCTCTAACCATATCCATTCTGCTCCTCATATGACTCAACATGTGCCATTAAAAACGGAAAAGTAATCATGTGATGGACAGAAACCACAAAGAAGCAGCAAAGAAATTATCCCGTTTAAGTGTCCCAGGCCCTGTCTTTTCCCTAGCACCTTTCCCAGTATAAAGACTGTGATCCTGAACTCTCCATCTGTCTTTGCTATTCTGTTTTTAAGAATAGTCAGCCAGTCCAGTGCTGGAAGGCTGCTGCACTAATTACACTTTCTTTGAAGCTCGGAAATAAAGCAATGCAATTTCCTCACAATCCTTTTGTCATTAAGTTAGCATCATGTTTTGTTGGAATATCATAGAAGGTCTGCTGCCTGAGCACCATGTCTCCGCAGAAGATAGCCAATGAACCTGGGAAAAAGGTACCTTGAGGTAAGGTACAGGTGGATTCACTAACATCTTCAGCAGAAAAGATGTCAATTTACTTTTTCCCCTTATTAAACAAAATGATTTAAACAAAGTGTGATATGAGCTTCTAAATTTTATGTTTTGTGTTTTAATTTTGGGTTTGCTGTAAATTGTTACTTATTGTAAATATGCTGTTTTCATTTTTAAAGTTAGTCTGAATTTAAGTTGTGTTGTTTAATTGCATGCTTATAGCAGAGTACTACATTACAAGACGCTGCAGCATATGAATATTTTAAATAAATATGGGTTCCACAAATACTAGTTTTACAAATTTGACATCCGAAAAGAGTGGAAACCTATTCCCAATACTGTTTTTAAAAACTGCATTTTTCCTGTGTTGCTCTCATGCCTGTCTTCTTTACTAGTCCTCCTTACAGATTTATATTTATCACATTTCCTTCTAATTTTCAGTTTTCTAGTTCTTAAAAACTGATAGATTAAAATGCCATCATGTGCCTTTTACAATATCCTGCCTTTGTTATGCAACTGTGTTATCATATTTAACAATCATAACATGATTACATTTGCACTCTCTGATCACCCAATGCACAACACTTAAAGGTGAGGGTGTAGAGCAGCATACTATTCGCTAACAAATAATTTCACATAAAGTTTTAAACAAAACCAAAGTTTTATTCCAGGAATACTTCCCAGATCAACACACACAAAGCCTCTCTCTACTGTAATGCTGACATCACTAACGGAAGAAATCCAAGCAGAGGCCAAATAAACATTATGGAAAAGATACAAATAAGCCAAGACTAATTCTTGCAGTAAATGTGTTTATTTGACTGATGCTCAAAACTGCCAATGACAGTTACATGTGATTAGCTGACTGAAGTGTTCACCAAGGAGTCAACCAATATGTACTCTTAGGAATACATGCAGGTGGAAAGGAACCTATGTACCACAATCTAGCTATTAGCTACTTCAAGACACATATAAAAGGAAAGTCAGTTAATAATCCTTAATGTGCAGCACCAGTAACCCTTCTAAATTGCGTAAAAACAGAACCAGGTTACACAGTGGTATGCAAACGTAGGTAAAAACAAATTAATCTTAAATACTTTTTATCTAATTGCAACACATTAGTTGCCTCGTATGTTAATCTGGACTTGCATTCTGCTTCGAAGAGGTCTTACCTTGGTATTGTAACACACTTTGTATTGCAGTTCTGAGTGGTGATTGCTTTTTCAAGCTCATCCAGTTGCCCTGTCTTCTTGAGCTTCTTGACCAAACTTTTCACTGCTTTCTCACACCATTTTTCTTCCTGACCATTCTGCTCACCCCCACCAGCACCTCCTGAACCACCAGCAGACTTCTTCCACCCTAGCAGTCTCTTCACAACAGGTGGGGTAAACGGCAATATAGACGACATGGCCAGGTGCAGAACAACTTACAAAATAACTTGGCAGCCGTTTGCAACCTATGAAAAAAAGAAATCCATTAGGAGATTTAAGAGAATTCCTCAATTTTTCACATTGTCTAGACAAACTGGAGACTTCCAGATGACAAAAATCCTTGAAATGCTCATGACAGCATAGACAGCTATTGCTAGCTTATTAGTTGCCTATTTTAGGGGCAAATTGCCAGTTATAGCAAACCTGTTGTCCCTTTATCATTTTAAATCCTTTCATTGTGGTCATCTACAGGACTAGTATGACTATTGCTATACTATAGATATATATGCCCCTATCAGTGAAAAATTCACTTTTGGCTATTAAACTAATAGCCATGTCATTTTGTAGAAAGGGGAAGAGCTGGTTCATGAAAGCGTTAAGTCCCTTGCTACTGCAAAGTTTCTCTCTTTGAAGAATGAAGCCCACATTCTCATTTCCACCCAGAACACATTCCTACACCTACCTGCTCAGACACAGCTCCAACTAAAGCCAAAAGGACATGCAGCCCCAACTGCTGCATGCTTCAGCTAGTCCATGGACTTCCAATGGGACTAACTCCCTAACAACTGTACACAGAAGTGTAGCCTTACCTATTTAACATTTTTACTATTCTTAGAAAATTATAATTCACTGTATATTCTTAGACAAATTAATGGTCATGACCATATTAAGATACATTAGATTTACACTTGCCTGACACATGCAACATAATCGTATTTTTTGTCAAGTGACTGCCATACCCAAACCCTGTCATACAAAGCTGTAGAATAAGCTCAACCTGAAGCTGGTAATAGTTGCTGCCAGAGCAGACCAGCGTTTTCAGAAACGTGTTCATGCTGTAGGGAGCAAAGGGGCTGATTTCTGCTCCGTCTGCCTTCATACTGTAGTGCCACCCACCCAGCATTTGGCGAGTCCCTCCAATTCCTGGAAACACAACTCACACAGGTGAAAACTGCCCCCACTTCCAGGGGAGAGTTCTTAAAGCAGAGATCCCTGAAACTCAAGCTGTATACCATTAAAATGCAGATTTAAACTAAAGAAACAAATGGCTTTACTAAAATAAAAGACTGCATCCTGACTCCAAGTCACACACAGAGCCCAGTGAAGTCAATTTAGGAAAGTTACTCATTAATTTGAGAGCCACTGATTCTAGCAGGCTCTGCCTCCAACGCATTCCAGTAGGGATACTGGGGATGTCAGAAACTGAGTCAAATATCATCTGATGTTCAGGAATCTAAGCTGTAGATACTACAGCGAAGCAGCTTTTTTTCAATCTGCAGAGACCATTTTTTAGCTTTGGGGATACATGCAAAAGTTCCCACAAATGAACGTCTTATGCAAAAAAATAATCTATTCAGTCACTGAGCTGACAATAGAACAAAAGATATTTGATAATCCATGGAATATAAAAAAGAGCATATTTGACAAAAACAATAAATTCTAGTGTAGTGGTTAGAGTGCTGGACTAGAACTCAAGAGATCTGGGTTCTAATTCCCACTCTGCCACAAAGCTCATGGGTGACTTTGGGCCAGTCAGACTCTCGGCCCAACCTCACAGGGTTGTTGTAAGGATAAAATGGAAAGGATTATGTAAGCCTACTTGAGGTCCTTGCAAGGAAAAAAGACAGGGTTTAAATAAATTACCGTATTTTTTCATGTATAAAAGACAATACTTTTTGTTAAAAATATTTACCTAAAAATGGAGGGGCACTTTATACATGGGGGGGGGGGAACCACAGATGCACTGCAGGGGGAGGCAGGCATGGGCACAATCGTGAGGGAGACAGGTGTGGGCACGATCGGGGGGGGGAGGCAGGCGCGGGCACACGTGTGCGAGCAGGTGGCGGGTGCGCACACGCCCCAGCAGCTTGCTCGCTTGGAGATCAGTATGAAAAGTGGGGGGCTTCCTATACATGGGGGCGTCTCGTAGTCGGAAAAATATGGTAAATAAACATGGCATTTCCAAGCCTAAGAAACTAGTCTGGAAGGTAGCACAAACATATTTTAATGTGTGTGACTTTTTAACAGTGTGTTTCAAGATTGTAGTCTCTACCATGCATTTGTTTAACAGAAATAAATATAATCTCTGGATCTTACAAATATCTGCCAAATTACTAGGCAGACAACAGATATCCAATGTGCCCTTGTACATTAAAAACTAAACACAGGAATATTGCACAGGCATAATTTGATCCCAGTGCAACACTGGGAGTTACTTTGTATGGGCCAGAAGCTCTATAAAAAGTAACAAGATAAATGGTTTTAAGTGCCTGGGCCAGTAAAAACAGAATCTTGAATGTGTGCATGTTCTGTCACAGCATAATCTGCTATTTCCTCAGGAGTAAGCCCACAAATAGCACTGCTACATTTACTTGTTAACATACTTACTGCTTATAAGACTCAGTGGAAAGCAATCCACAGCTGAGAACAATTTGGAAATCAAATTTGTGGTGTTAATGGTTGTGATCACATGTGATGACAGGCAATCCGTTTGTCACTCCTGGCCATGTTTCTCTCCTCACACATTTCCCCCACCAATCATAGTGGTAGGCAAGCTTGTCAGGCATCCAGGAATGTTTGTAATTTTTCAGACCTATCAGTGCTTTTGTTATTTTGCCCTGTAGGCATTTATTTTTGCGATCCGCCATTTTCTTCCTCCCCTGCCCTAGATCCCCACTTTTCTTGCCCAGCTTACTTTTTCCTACCTCATGATCCCCACCACCATCACTCCATTCCTCAATTAAGCACTGCCAAAGGTTGAAGGGGAAACCAAGATGGGAGCAGCTTCCTTCTTGGGACTTCGTCACTGCAGGGAGAGGTAGGGAGTGGGGAAAACGCAGTCAGGGGCAGGGGAAGGCGTGCACGGGGCACAAGAGAGGAGGTGAAGGGGGTCTTGCGGTAGCCACTAGGTTGCTTGGGAGGTGGCAGTGCACCAACGGGCGCCATGTTGCCAACTCTAACTTATCCTCATTCAGCATTAATGTCCTGAAAAAGGAAGTGAGTGTGGTAAAGCTGTTAAGAGAACAGGATGGGGAACCAGGAGAGCTAGGTCCTGGCCCCCGCTCGGCCATGGAGCCAACTGCGTGACTTCAGGCCAGTCACAGACTCTCAGGCCAACCTTACCTCACAGGGTTGTTGTTGTTGTGGGGTTAAGACTGAGAGCAGCAGCAGGACAATGATACAAGCCACTTTGAGTCTGTTATCAGAAAAAAGTGGGATATAAATCTGATAAATAATATGTAATCCATGAGAGAAGAAAAACCTGGCTTATTGGCCCAAAAGGAGCAGAGCCAAGGATCCTCTAGTTGCTGAACTTCCCACTCTCATTAGCCCCATCCAACCTCCCAGAGATGGGGGGAGCTGTAGTCCAGCAACACCTGGAAGATCACAGGTTCCCTGCCACTGACTGCAACCGAATATACAGATCTGGTACCTTTATCTGAACAACAGGGCATTAATCAGTTTTAAGGATTACATTCAGGTGAGCTGCAAATGATTCCTTCATTGTGCATCACTGTGTTTTTCCGACTCCAAATTATAACAAATTTGTTCACTAGAACAAGCATCTTTCATGACCCCCCCTCCCTTCCACAAGTATGCCAATCCACCCCACATTCTTTGTCCTCCTCAACGGGAGAGAAAGGAAGAGGAGTGTTTCTGACTTTGCACTCTGAGGCACTCACAGCTCCCCCTGAAGAGATGCCATCCCTTCATTAATTCTGAGGAAAAGCGAAGTCATGACAAATTTTACTAGGACTAACACACTGAGACAGAGTCTGTGGACCCCCATCTGTTAAAAAAGCTATATATATGCACCCCAGACATTCCCATTCTATTGGACTGAGGAAAACATTTGTAACAGTTACAGGTCTCCCTAAACAACACAGCACAGAGCACCAAAGAAAGTGGTATGGGGGGAAGAGAAGAAAACAGCATTTTATTTCGCACACTGATCATTTTCATTCAAGTGTAAAGGGGCAAAGACGACAATGATTCAAACAACCTGCCTTCTGAAACATTTGCCACAAACTGAAGTTTTGCTTAAAGATCACTAAAAATAACACTCACTATGTAAGTTTCAGACAAAGTTAAAAAAGTGTTTACCATTCACTAAAAGGGAGTGATTTTATTTTCATAATGAAGGATTTTTAGAAGATTTGTTTCCTCCTGCTTTAAAAGAAAAGGGGTACAGACTAAAGAGTTCTAAAGAATATGATCCTGATCTGGAGCACAAAGTCCTTTTTCCAGAAAGCAGACAATGCTGATTCTAGAAGAGCCTGATCAAGGGCTTACTAGACAAAAGAGTACCCATCAAGGCTGCATACAAGTGCTCCTAAGATCGACAATGGATACAGCTTAGCACATGAAGGGCCCTGGTGCTCCCATTCCTACACAAGTATGATGATGCTGGACAGCAGGAGGGAAAATACCAGCCTGCTGAGCCACTGCTTGTGCTCAATTCAATTCTTCAGCTAATTGTGCAAGCCGTGGTAAGTTCTATGCAGTTACTCAGCCACCTACGAATGGGCTGAAACTGTCCAAGCAGCAAAGTCTCTGCTAGCACGGCAGAAATGAAGGGGGAAGCTCTCCTTCGAGCAGCAGTGCACCACCCACAGGCCCCACAGCCTGTGGGCTGCCAAGGCTTTTACTGTGCTCAGAGGAAGCTGTGACCCCATTCCTAGCCACTGGATTTGCTATCACCTGTACTTCCGGATCCCTCATACAGGTAGGACTTCTGGCACAGCCACTACAGAGAACAGTGATCTCTATCCAGATTTTTTAAAGGAAAATCCAGGAAATTTATGAGGTAATTGGTAGAGCAAAACTTTCTCCACTCCCTCCCTCAAATTATTCTTCTCCCACCATTACCAACAAGGAAAGGACATGGTTCCATCCACAAGAGTAAGTTGAATATTAATAAATACACATAAAAACAAAGGAAAAGTATTTTAGGTTCCCTGAGTGTTTCTTATGGCCCGAACAAGGATTACAGAAGCATTGCCTGACACAAAGTCCAAGTCACTCCACCCCCACTAACTTGGACACATAGTAAATTCACATATGCTCCTCATAACTCAGTGATGACTTACATGTGTGGAAAAGCCAATGCAAATGCAACTTCCCAGACCGTATTAAATGCAATCCTTTTCAGAGGAGTAACTAGAAAGTTCTCCCAGTGGAGCAAGGAATGCATTAGAGTCCCTCAAGTATCTGAATTTCGGGGACTAGTACTTTACAACTTGCTCACTCATAAAGTTCACATTAAAGGCACGAGAAAAAGTGAGGTCTCCTATACTGACATCCCGTTCTTCCTCCCTGGAGCTTAGAGCACTAGACATAAAGGGAGATACTCTGTCTTCTTACAGCAACCCAGAGGCCGAGAGTGACTGTCCCTAGGCCACCCAGTGAGACCAGGGAAGAATTGAATCCAGGCCGCTCTGGTTTAAGTCCAGCACTGAACCACTACACCAAAGCAGATGTATAAAAAAACAGAAGTTAACTCACTAAATCACTGGGCAAGCTACCTGGGAAATCGATTTCTGATCCAAGTAATGCAGGAATGTCTAAATACCAAGTCCTTACAGAATGAAAATTTGGAAACAGCTCATTTGGAACAAGATACTACCAAACCACCTACAAAAGAAGACTGGGATGGACCAAGAAGCCTCTTCTACCATAGATATTCTACTAGTGTAACTAGAATGTTCTCCCTATTGAATTTTTTACCAAAGCATTCTCCAGATCAGCTGCAGGCATCCTGATATTTTCCAGAGCCAACAGGGCCAATGGCAGTCCAATTCAAGTGCTAGAGGTAGCCCACCTCTGCTCTAGGAATACTTGGAAATACCCTTCAGCTACTAAGACAGAGTTCCCCTGGCTAACTATTTGCCAAGATCCCAACCAAATCTGAAAGGAAAATAAGCATAATTCTTGGATCATTGAACATCATAATGTGATAAAAGCTGAATTAAAATTAATAGCTTGGGTGAACAGGTGCTTAACTCTAGGTTTCTATGGTAGAGTATTCAAAATGTAAGCATTTTGCTGAACATATGAGAAATCTGCAGCTTAAACCTAGTAAGGAAGCAAGACGACAGAACACTGACTATAGGACCAGTATAGAAATAAAGTCAATAAGAAATGTTTCAAATTGGTAAGTGTGTATTACATAGCTTCTAAAGTACTTTTAAAAATAAAGATCATTATCATCTTTCAACTATCAATTGTTCAGGGCTTTTAAAGCCCCTATACTACAACATAAAATGTTTAAGAGTTGGAGATTTTCCAGACCACAAGTCAACTGGGGAACATGCATCATGTTCTAGGAGGTGTGGCTAAAGAAATTTGTTCAGCTGAAAATCGTGTTGTATGTGCTGTACAGGAAGTATGTAGCCCCAAAAGATGCAATAACAGTTGCAATTAAATTATGTAAAGTTCAATAGCACTTACGTCTGCTTGAATGCTAGTTTTTAGATTTGATCACTGATCAGCTTTGTCAATGGACCAAATATGCCAAGTTCATCTTTCTCTTTTCCTCAACTTCTCCTATGCTTCTTGTCTTCCCTTAGTTTTATACTGTGAACCCCTGGAACAAGAAACACTTCATATTGTACAATGTGTTACTCAATGCTATCCCTTGGAGAGAGAATGAACTATAAAATGAAGCAAATATTGTTAATGGATATACTTCAATGCTGGGCATTAACCACCATCTAGTTTTCAGACCACAGCAAGAAGCTTGCCTACAAAATGTACAAACAGAAGGGTATAAATAGCAAGTAGCAAGACATTGAACTAGTTTTGCTAGTTGCTCTCAAATCATTGAGGCTCTTTCATACAGTAATCACAGTTTACACAAAAATAAAGCAGACAAATAAGTTTTTAACTTCTGTCTTGTAAAAAAAACATACTTCTTACCATGTGTGTGTGTGTGTGTGTCTGAGAGAGGGAGAGGGAGAGGGAGAGGGAGAGGGAGAGGGAGAGGGAGAGGGAGAGAGAGAGAGAACAAACACCTATCTGCTTCATCAAGACACAGATTTAAAATGTACATGTGAATTTTAGGCACCTCAGTTTCTTGTAGCCTATCACAGATCACAAATACCAGAACTACTTTCTGCTCCATGGAACAACTAATCCAATCGCATGACCTGCAGCAATTCAGTTGAACGATCAACAATTACAAATATTCCAACAAAGTAAGCTTAGGTATTGTCTTGTGGCTTTACAATAGGAGTAATTAAATCCAATTTGGAAAGCAGAATTTACAGCTCACTTAGCAAGTCAAGCCCCTAAAGGGATGCTTCCAATTACAAAATTTACATGCATGGCCCATTAAAGCAATGCAATGTACATTGTTTATACAGTGGTGGAACAGAGTCAACTTTTCTTCATCTACAGGGACTCTGTTTGTTCATCTCATGATCAAAGCACTACCATGAATACATAATCCAGACCCCATTTTTCAAGAAGTGAGAGAGGGAGCCTAGAAATGAATGCAGATTTTGAGAACAAATTTTACTGATACTGTGGCATATGTTTTAAAGATTATACATCCTAGTAATACTCTTACAATTTACCTAACTTACTATATAGCCACCTCTCCTTTAACTTTTAAACACTGCAACATATTTAGCAATCTCTTTTGGAACAACACCACTTTGTAACTTTCCCATATTTCTTAGTTCCTCTTATGCAAGTAAAGAATTATGGCATGGCTGTTAACACATTATTTTAGAAGACACACCAAAAAAAAACCCAGAAGTTCAGCAAGAGGACTACATGACAGTGAAAAACTGAAAGTGAGAGAGACTTGAAAACTGTAAAGCAGAGGGGAAACATTAAGGTACAAAATCTAACTAGAGGCCGGACTCCAAATAACAAGCCTCTGCTAACTCTAAGTAGCAAGTGCTTAGCATTCTATGAATGTGGACCCCCAAACTGTGCCAAAGAAACAATGCTCTTGTTATTTCAAGACACTTTATACACAGATGTGCTGCACAGTTCAGCCTATTTTCCCTGTGAACCAGAGCAGCATCCATGTGATTCACAGGGGAGAGATGGCCCACTCCCTGCACATACCAGGAGCAACATTCGAAGACACTGTTATGTACTATTGTGCTTCTATACTGCTTGCTTATGCTGGCCCCTCTGATTTGAAAATTAACTGTGAATAGGAACCTCTAATCACAAGGCTGGAAATTTTAGTACAAGTGCAAACAAGGTGATGGTTCTAGTCTTAACATCAGTATTTATCAAGCATTATGAAGTTGTAGACAACAACGCCGAGGTGGAAATTACAGCCCACCAAGAACTAAAACTTCCTCCTTATACTCAAGTTCCCAGGCTGAGAAGAGCCTTAGAAGAGCAGCTAAGGTCTACAGTTTGTACAATGCTTACAGTAGCTATACTTTTTAATATTCAAGTAAATGAAACTTCCACAAGAAGACGATTTTTGTTTTTATCTGGCAGATCTTTTTCTGCTGACTAATTTAGACAGGGGTACGCAATTTGTAGGCATTCTTCCAACTGTTTTTACCTACAACTTGAATTAGCTCTAGCCAACAAAGCAAAAACTGTGAGAACATGGGCGTTGTAGGCTAAGGCGGCTGGATGGCCACCGCAGTTCTTCCTTTCAGAATTGGCCTGGTTCCAATAATCATCTAACAAGAGTAACCAACCTAGTACCCTCCAAATGTCCAGTACCACAACTCCCAACATTCCCTGTCCACTGGTCATGCTAGCTGGGGCTGAGGGGAGTTGTGCACTCCAAATATTTCGGACTACAGTGTTGCCAGCCCATGATTCAGACTACAGTGAGTGAATCTCAGATTCAAGTTCCCACCCTCCTCATGCCAAGAGGATAATGAAAGCTCCTGATCGCACATTTGATTAAACTACAGTTTTGCATGACGTAACAATTCAGAATACTCTGACTTCACCTAACTCCAGTTAAACCAACCTCCTTCAATTATGTGAACACAACACACTGCAGACATAAGCACATGAATCACAGAGAGCAAGATCTATTATGCAGTTGCTCACAAAATTTTATCTCTACACCAACCACAATGCAGAGAGGAAAGCTTCCTTCCCTGTCATGACAAAGGGCTGGTGCCTCCTTCCCTGGTCTCTGTACTACACAAAAATAAAAGATGCTCCACTCAGCCTCCAAAAGTAGATGGAAACAGTTGTTTCAAGAGCTCCCAATCTCCTTAAATGGGAAATTGCTTCATGTGATCTTATAGCACTGCTCCACTTCGTTCAGAGTGATCCAGCCAGCAGAGGAAAACTCCAGCCCTTACCATTCATTGTCTTGTACATACTCTTAACAGTCATAGCAAAATACTGCTGCTGGTGATTTAAAACTTTACTGACACAATCCATGAGCTTATAAGTCACAAGAAGGTGGTCATATGCATAAATGATTACTATTTACGTTTGTTTAAATGGGGCAGTAACCGGCCCACCAGCACATCATGCAACTCCCTTCTCTTTAAGGCTCAAGCCATCTTTGACTTACAAGATGCCACTTGGCCTGACAGCTACCCCACCCCAGCAGGAAACGAAACAACTGTCATTTCCAGACTGAAAAGCCTACCAGGTGTGAAGCTGTTCTTTTTACATGCGCTTTAACATGGCCAGATCCACCACACAGTGTTCAAGAAGCAGCCAAAATGAGCATGAAAGAGTTGCTCAGTTCTCCTGCAAGCAAGTTATCCCTCCCCTTTTGGAGATCCAGGGGTCTGCAGATGCTACCTCATCAAGGAGGCTGACTAGGGGGAAGCAATACAGATAAGCTAAAGAATTCTGTAAACCCTGCAATGGACTGCATCTCCCATAAGAGGCTGCATCTACAGTTAATCCTTAAGATGCATCAGTTAGAGTCGCATTACTACAGGGTATCCAAACAGGCAGGAAGCCCATTCCCCTTCAAGAAATAACACACCCTCAGTATTTATGGGAACACAGGGCGACTTATTTTATACAGTTACGTGTATTTTATATTGTTATTTATGTATTTTATTTATTTGTAAGCTGTCCCAAGGCTTCGGTGAATGGGGCGGCCTAGAAATTTTCTAAATAAATAAATAAATAAATTAGGGTGCAATAGTGCAGAAAAGGTGCAGCAACTCCCAGCTAGCTAATGCATCCTGGGAGCTGCAGGATTCTTTTCCCTTGTGCATACATAGGATTGCACCCTTAGTCTCTTATATTCTCAGAGATCTAAGACATCAAACAAACCTACAACCTCCTCTTGCCACAGCACTTCTTTAAATGGGCATCATATTCGAAACTGGGAGTCAGTTCAGATGATATTTGGTCTCTTGCAAGAAACTGCTTGGGCAAGGTATGATTTCATACAAACCCTCTTTTCTGACATACCGCTTAAGCAATCAGACTACTCGTGTGAGCTGTTATTCCTAAGAGTAAGTCAGTAAATGCAGTACTGAGCTCTCTCAGGTTCTACCAGCATTTCTATTCAATTAAGAGCAGCAATTGTATTTGTTTTCCTAACTTTAGTTTGCCGTTATTTTTCTACCCAACGCAAACCTGCCACTGCCCCAGATATCCTAAAACTCACAGGAATCAAGGAACTAATGCTGACAAGTACAAAAGAATGTCTTTCAATCTCCATTAGTCCGGAACACACTGATGTAATGTTAACCCATTCACCTCAAATGAAGAAAATAGCAACTGGTTTATTAGGTCACAAAATCTCTGGAACAACCATTTGTAAAAGCACCTAACAGAAATACACAGTGTGATCATCTTGGCACTCATCAGCAGAAGTTGAGAAAGGCTTCCAACTATTCTGAAGACAAGCCAGACTTGATTTGTAGGGGAAAGTATTTTAGACACATAGCTTGACAATAAAACGTACTTATGCACGTGTGTGTGTGTGTGTGTGTGTGTGTGTGTGTGTGTGTGTGTGAGAGAGAGAGAGAGAGAGAGAGAGAGAGAGAGAGAGAGAGAGAGAATGAACATCTAACACACCCAGCCCAGCAGTCAGCAATATGGTGACCTTGTGAGAAGAGGCCACAGAATCAGCTTCTTGAGCAAAAGAACTGGATCAGGGGCTGATTTTCCTGTGCAGCACAGGGAATTCTGCTCAGTGAGGGAGCACAAACACCATGGAATACTGGCTGCAGCGTCAGCCATTTCTTGTGTGACTGGGGGCATTTCAGCAGCATCCCAGGGCCACGTTGTGGGGTCAAATAAAGCCCACAGGCCATGTATTGCCCAGCCCCTGGTCTAGTAGAAACACACCAGAATCATAAAAGATGTATCACACTTTCAATTCAGAGCAGGCGTTGTACCTTCAAAATCTGGGCTCTATTCCCAAATGAGTAATTAATTCACCTGATGGTTTTGGTGAAATCTACTACAGCTGCATTTTCCCTCAAATTTAAGGGGAGTAGCAGCAACCTACCCTGACAGGTTTGTTGTTAAGGACATTAATGTAAAACGTTATAAAAATTGTTCTCCTCTTTTTCAGAGTGCAAAGTGTTAACAGCTCTTTCTAGCGGAAATGTAAGATTTTACAAAAACTGCAGATTAGGACAAAATCTTCATCTGATACAAATC